CTCTCTCTCTCTCTCTCTCTCTCTCGCTCTTCTCTCTCCCCCCCACCGCCCTGCGCGTGTTGCTAGGATCGATTGTTGGAGACTGAAACGCACCCGAAAAAGACCCTGAGTTGAGCGAGCGAGCTGCACCGGCTGCCCACTTCCAGCTGGCCGCAGCGCGCGCGCGCCTGCTCTCTAGGCTGTCTCCCCTGGCCAGAAGGGCAGTGCAGCATCACGCTGTGGGCGGTGATTTTTCGAAATCCAAATCGGAAATTTGGCAAATTGGCAGCTGTGGCCAGCCGCCAGAGAGAGGGGCCTCTTCTAATCTTCTAGGGGCTCGCTGCTGTGCTGTTGTTGTTTTTTTTTTCTCGCCTCGCTCTGCCAGCACGAGCAACTGCCAAGGCACGCGCTCCTGCTTCTTCTTGGCCCTGCCATCCCGACTTGGCAACCCAAGCCAAGCCGATCCGATTCCGCTTCTGCTTCTGCTTCCGCTTCGGAGAACATCTTGGCTTCCCGTCCACCGCCAAGCCCCGGGGTCTTGCATCCTCATGCGCCAGGCTCCCGATGGCAAAGCCCAACGCTGATGAGCAACGAGACTGTTCAGAATGTTGCTGCCGGTGATGTGCAAGATCGGTGAGCGGTTGAAATTCCAAATTTTGCGGCACGGCGGCACGGTTCGCCTAGCAAAGCTGCTGTCGATCAGATGTTCGCATGCTCATGCAGGATGATGAAGGGTTGCTGCACGCCCGATTCGTGCGGTTGTCCAGCTGAGTGGTTGCGATTCCAACTCTGCCTCCCCCAGCCCAATGTTCTTCGCGGCCAGCAGCTTGGAGATGTGGGTCTGCCCTCTGCCTCGCCTAACGCAGCTCCCCTTGTTCACAGGCGCTTCGCTCGACATCGGACTGCACACTTACGCTCACAGCCGGCGTCGATCCGCTTGCCTCGCTTAGCCATGACCAGCGGTTGTCATTTACCGGAGCGCAACTCCGACTTTTTTGGCGTCGTGGTAACTGTTGTCCATCGATCGCCGCTAGTGACATGGAGCGGAACGGGCCGATGATCGTCGTCTTGCTCTCGAAGCGGTCAACACCTGGTTGCACCTTGAAAGGCTGGCGTTCGGCCATGTCGGTGTTTCCGAACCTCAGGCTGGACTGGGAATATTCTCAACAGGGAAAATCCAGCCTGGTAAATGGGGACGCAAAATGCTTCCACTTGACCTGTCCTGGTCGTGACCATGCCCTGAGAGACTAGGCTATATCTCGTTCGAGATCACATGCATTGCGTCTGTCAGCGATGCACTTCAGCGCGGAGCCTCGCTGATCAGCTTTCTCGGCAGCAGAATGCAATGTGATTGTGTGTGTTAGGCTCAGCGTCGCATGACCCGATTCTCGGGAGTTCCGAATTCTATCCCCTGCCGTCACGCTCCTCCTAGAAGGTGAGATGGAGCCAGCAAAAGATAAATGTCGGAACATGCGCCCGAGCCTGGATCGAGAGGGCCGTCTATATAAGGCAATTTGCTACTGAGGCAAGGTCAAGGACGGCAGCCAGGTCGAAACTGCTATCGGATCTCCCGATCGCGCTGACTTTGTGATGTGCAGGCGAAGCTCGAGTTGCAGCCTGTCTCGAAAGCAGATCTTCAGATCCGAACACCCGATAGGACACCGTAGATGAATTGCATCGCTGATCTGCATCTTGACCCCAGCTCATCTTGCGATCATCGTGCTGCCTTGGTCTCGGCGACTTTTCATCTCGATCGTGCCGATTCCTCCTTCTCACGCCTGACACTGCACTGCCGTGGTGACCGAAGACCGACCCCATCACACATGCATCTCCAACGTGACCGGTCGAATCGCGACCCCATCCCCGAAATCATGCTCCAATGGAGTCGCGATGGGTGGAATGCCGAATCCCACGCTCCGTCGATGGCGAGGCAACCCATCCATGCTCATCGAAGCATACATTCATTCGCCATGTGCGGAATGGGGTACGAGCTCGATAAGATCACAAGATTGCTGCGGTCATGGCTGCATTCCGGGGTCGGGGCTAACAAAGGCGGAGCGGACCAATCCGCATTCACGCATACGGCGACGCCTTGCGAAAAAGCACTCCTGCCGCTACCTCGGCATTCAGCTGTCATCCCGCTCTCCAGGCTGCGGAGGCGCACTTCGGTGATTTTTGGCTCGGTTTCCTACGCGATTCAACCACAGAAGCCGAGCGAAGGAGACCAAAAAAAGGGTAGGAAACTGGGGTTGTGGAGGCAAGTAACACGAAGCGGCTACAGCTGGGCGTTGACCAGGGCCACGTTGGTGGCTGCCAGCCAACACGAGGCTCGCCAACATCGCCATGCGCTGCCGGCCATCGGTCGAACTGGGGTGCACCCATCCCTCCTCCACTGTATCAAATACATGCCTTGGCCGGCTTACGACGGTACAGGAAGGGACAAGGCATGTGCGGCGAACAGGGGCGGGCGAGGTGAGACAGCGTGGGCCAGGGTTACTTGGAAGCACGGCCTGCGGCTGATTTTCGTTTTCGTGCGCGAGCACCACACTGTTTCAGATGCACCAGGATCTTCCGAGACCGATCGACCCACGCTGGAATGGCATCCTGGCTCAGCGGCTCCGATCTTGCACCGCCGCCGTGCTACCGTACACACATGGCAGCGTCAATCATCATCTCGGAAGAAAAGACTTGGGCCGCGGGTGCGCACCGCACCGTCTTGGTCTCCTGCTTAGTTGGTCAGTGCAGCATGACGAACGGTGTCGGTTCTGGCGAACTGCGGCAAGCTGCGCAACAACGGTCGCCGACGCAGAATCACATCGCCCCGCAGCGTCGCTCTCGGACCTTGTGCGAACCACCTGCTGCAACACGCCTGGCCAATCGTTGCTCCTTCCGCCCGACTTGTGAATGCGAACACAGCATCTGCTTGCACTTTCACTCGCCTACCTGTGTCGAGCGATGCAGCGGGGGCCACCAATGGGCGAATGGGGGGCACGTAGGCGCATACAACCCCGCAGACGGTTGAGGCGGCGGAGGCGACGGCGGCGGCAGACTTGCCAATTTGAGCTCGAATTTGCGCCTGTCACTCTGCACAAGCGGACACCGGTGCGGCGGTTGCGGCTGCATGCGCATCCATGCGCATCCATGCGCCTCCGGTCAACTGGACCGACCGTCGTGTGACAGCATGCACACACACACACTGTTGTTCACCGGAACGGCTCGGGCAGCCAACCAGCGCCCTCGTTTTTCGGGGGGCGGCAGGCAAGCACAATGGCGCAACATTCCGTAGCCCGCCCGGCGACATGAAAGCGCCATTCGGAATTCATGAGCTCACGCCGCTTTGGGTTCACTTTTTTTTCCTTTTTTTTCATTTTCGAAATTTCCCGTGCCCGGTGCGGGCTGGAAAAAAAAGGCAGTTGAAAATGGCTCTCTGACAGAGCGACGATTTCGAGGGTGCTCGTCAAGCAACGCCACGCCCAAAACCACCGACCTGAAACCTGCCCTAGCTGCCGCCCACGCTGAATGCTGCACAGAGCCGGTGGCAGCGCCCAAAGGCCCGCGGGTTGTTTCTTTTTCTGGCCGCCATCGGCGCAACCAGGCGCAATGAGCTCCCGGCTCGCCCGCCCTCGATTTTCAGGGGGTGGCACCTTGCCGTCGCGACAAAGCCCGGCTGTCGAGCGTGATGCTCCGTTTGCACAAGCCACAGAAGCCCGTCGATCCTCGCGAGGTCGCACAAAGCTCGAGCCGCACCGAGTGCACAAGCCGACGAGCCACGCGATCGGACAACTGCACAGGAACCGCCTGCACCGTTGCACCGGCAAGGTCGAGGGCCCCCCACCAGTCCCCTCGTTGGACCACCCGAAGTGCCACTGTTGTCAGCTGTGCAGCTTGGCGACGATCAGAGCCCGGCTAGCTGCCAGAACTGGTGTCATACAGCGCAGATGGTCCGGACAGCTGCCGCACACCGAGCCTCCTCCGCCCAGTCGCTCGGACCTGCTTCATCGAGCACTGGCTCATGAATGCGCTGTGAAAGCAGGGCGCGACTGCTCGTGTGCCGCCAAGGTGTTGTTCTCGCGCCCAGCATCGCGGATGAAGGCGACTCGAACACCGATGACAGCTGCGATTCGGTGCTGCAAAACTTTTTTTTTGGTCCTGCGCACACACACCCTCGTTCCTACAGCGCCCAAGGTGGCTGGTGCGCTCGCATTCTATAGCGTCGAACACGGCAGCTTCGCTGTAGCTCGTTCCTGTGTTCGCAGCGTAGACCATAGCGAGTGCTGGACGTCCTCGAATCGTATAAAGCACCGGTCCCAATCTGGTCTTCCATCTTTCGTTCCCGCATCAACTCCATCCCACACGCACAAACACCACTCTAACTCTCTTTCAAGCTACCATTTCCCGACACTCAAAATGCAGTTCTCTACCATTGCCATTTCTGCCCTCGCCCTCGCTACCGCTGCGGTTGCCAGCCCCGTCAAGCGTGCTGGCGGCTCCGGTCAGGCGACCTATTACTACCAGAACGGGGCGGCAGGCAGCTGCGGCAACGTAAACTCGGACTCTACGCCCATAGTTGCCATCAACAGCGCACAGATGAGCAGCGCCATGTGCGGCCAGAAGGTGTGGATCCAGGGCAACGGAAAGACTATCGAGGCGACGGTCGCCGACACCTGCCCCACCTGCGCGTCGGGCTCGCTTGACCTTTCGGTGGGCGCCTTCCAGCAGCTCTCGGGTCTCGACGCCGGTGTCGTGCCCATCACCTGGTGGTCGTAAATCCCTCGCTCGCGTACTCCCTTCACGCCAGCAGGAACCTCTTTACGCGCAAATCGCTGTGCCTGTCAAGCAACTTGACCCGGGCCGCTTGCGCAACATAGACACTCCCTACTACACTAGATGCGACACTGTTCGCACTCTTCCGTTTTGTTTTCTCTTTCCCGTCTGTCTCCTCGCATTTTTTTCCCGGTCCCCAATCGCATCCCTAGATCGCCTTTAGAGCATCCCACTGTATACTACATTTCGCCCCGCTTTCCGCTCTAGGCCAATCGGCTCAAGATGCAAGGATCATGCGGGCACAAAAAGGTGCTAGTCGCAAAAGACAGCACCCTAATATAATTTTCACCCGCGCATCGATTTTTGCTGCGCATTGTAGGAAACGAACGCATGGTGGAGATGAGGTTTTGGGCTCGCAGACACTTGACCAGGACAAAGCTTTGCACGTACAGGCGATGGCCAATGTCTATGCCGAGGATCTTGATGGTCGATGTTGTTGGCGACAACTGCTCGCCTTAGAAACTTGGTGATGGTACCGAGCTCCGGCGGGAGGTTAAAAAGTGAGTCGGCGTGAATGGACCATAGCAGCGGTGAGAGTACCGTGGAAGCGACGGTCGCTCATCCATTTGCTGACCCAGTCTGCGTACGGGGAGAAATCCATGCCACGAAGATCACTGATCAATCCCTCGTGTTGCACCTCGCGGTTACCGATTCGCAGCCAGTGTGCTACTTCTTGAAGCGTTGGAATTCGCGTGATGTTTGCATATTGCTGCCGCGGGATTTCGAGTCTGCCTATCTCGTGTTGGAACCTTCGGTTAAGCATGTTGTCTGCTAGTTTGGCAGCAACAGATGCTCGCCCTCTCGTCGCAATAGCTTGCTGCCATCGCTGTACTGCAGCGAACCATGATGAGTAGGAATCTTGTTCGCACCGGTAGACTGCATAGGTGTTCATGGCGGTGCGGAGTTGGACGACTGCAGAGATCGTGTGCGCAGCGAGTCTGACGGCATGCAGGTCGAAGGATGCCTGTTGGAGAGCGAAGCTCCGCCTGTTGAGCCAGTCCGCGATTGCACACACGCCTGCTTTGCTTTTCAGGGCGTGCAGGTGTGGAACAGTGATGGTCGATTCCGAGGAGGCCGCAGCTGCGTTGGCATTTGTATCTGCTCACTGCCCTCATTTGCCGCTGTTCGCCAGGTTCCGTGCTGACGCTGACCGAAACTTCGGGCTCATACGACACCGACTGGCGCAATGGACCAGCTGCCTCGTGTCTCTGCATGCCCATCTCTCTTCAAGTGCTCAAGGGCACGGCATCATGTCCAACAGCGCGGCGGCTTTCAAAACAGCGCTTGAGTCGATCTAACATGCGTATCGATCCGAGCTGCAATGTTAGACCGGTGTGCCAGCGTCGGCGGGGCAAAAAGCGAAAAAAAGTGAGACCTGAGATTTGGAACGCCGGAAAGCCGACCCGACGCACATGACGGCAGAGTCGGAGCCGAGTTGGAGCGGAGGCGGTGTTTGTGCGACCCGGGGCTGGCCCTGGAGCTTGCTCGCGCGGAGCTTGCTCGCGGGCATGAAAGTTTGGAGGTGGAGCAGCAGAGAGCTGGAGCAAACAATGGCGGGCGGGCAGGCAGGCGGCGCGGTTTGCTGCAGCAGCGGCGCTGTTTGCCGGGGCCAAAATCTAGAGCCGTTTCCCCAGCTTCCCGTGGCTGGAGGGAGGCGCATGATGCATCCGCGCCTCAACGCGCCAACCTATCGTCAAGCTCATCCATCCATCCCCGACGCCACCACGTTTACTAACCTCGAGCTAGCGAGCGTTTCGGGGGAAAGGTCAAAGGCATACGTGTGGGGGTGTCCAACCGCGTACAATATGGCTTGCATCTCGAGCTAAGCCCACACCACTCTGCCCACACCTTGCAGGGTTGACTCTCGACCACCACGATACCATGCCGCATCTGCCAAGGGTGCCTGCGTTCCCCATTGCGGGCGAGCGCAGTTTGCTCACCGCCGCAGGCGCTGCACTCAAGATCCCCGCCAAGGAAAAAGACTCGCCGCTCATCGGACACTTTGCCCCGGAAATCATCGCCACCGATCATCTCGGACGCACGGTGTCGCTGCATGCCACCATTGCACTCGGTCGACCCATCGTGCTGTACTTCTTCCCGCTCGCAGGATCGCCACACTGCACCAAGGAGAGCTGTTCGTTTCGAGACGCGGTCGGTGCATCGCCCATCTTCAACGATCTCAACGCGGTGGTGATTGGGATCTCGCAGGACCCCCCTGCTCGTTCGCGCCGGTTTGTCGACGAACACCATCTCGGCTTCCGCATCCTGCACGACTCGCAGCGACACATCATGGACGCTTGGGGTGTAGGTCGCGGCTTGCTGGGCTTGATCGATGGACGGTGTACGTTTGTTATCGACCACCAGGGTGTGGTCCGAGCCATGTTGGATGGGGTCTGGGACTATCAGGGCCACCGGAACTTTGCGGAAAAGTGGCTGTGTCGGATCGAACACGAGCTGTCGGGCAGGGAGAGGTTCTACATCGCGCACGACGACGAGGGTGTGGCGTGCGAAGAGGCCAACGTCAAGGTGGTCTATGGCGATCCCGTACCTGGACGGGGAATTGCAGCTGCACCGCGACATGGAGCGGCACCGTCGGCGAAAAGCTCACTCAAGTCGCTCAAGCCGACAGCCACGAGTCTGCAGGACGAACAGTCGATGGGTAGGGCGAGGTCGAGACGCAATCTCAAGGCGTGGTTACGGCCCAACGCGAGCTACGATGAGCCTCTCCAAGTCGAGGCTGTAAGCGCGCCTGCGCGGGGGGAGGAAGAGACAAGATCGGTGGATGGCGTGGCTGCACGCGTGCGCTCACTCAGGCTCGACGAGGAAGGCAAGGAGCAAGAGTGTCCGCGCTCGAGACGGGGATCTGGTTCCGGCTCGGGGTGGGCTACGTCCTCAACCATCTCGGCTCGGTCCATATCCACGGGCGAGACGAGTCACACCTCGCCTGCGCCGGCGGAGCCTGCAGCGCTGCTGGCGGCGCTCAAGGACGGCGTCGAGGGCGAGCGCGTGCGGCGGCGTGTGGATTCGGCAACACCCAGCATAGTGGGCAGATCCAGCTCACTGCGCTCGCAAGAGGTGTTTGCCAACGGCAACATTGCACGCATGCCGCTCACGGGCAGCAGCGACACGCGCCCCCGACGCGACGTCTCTGCCGACACGACCTTTTCCTCATCCTCGCTCCCCGTGCCACCGAGGCCAGCCGCTCGGCTTGTGGGTGGAGTCGTGGCAGCCGCCGCCGAAGCACGGCTGGACGCAAGCAGGTACGATGCCGCCCTACCCTCGTCGCCGATCGAACCGGGATCGACAGACGCACCCCGACTGCGCAAGCCCGCGTCGCCAGCACGAACAAGGGGCATGCCCAGTCCCTCGACAAGTGGCGCCAACTTTGTGTGGACCGAAAGGAGACTGTCCAATACGCCGAGTTTGGCAGCCTCGACGGCGAGTGTGTGCGAACGCAGCGAGTACGAATACTCGCCCTCGCTGGCGGAAAGCACGCACACCTTTGGCGGACTCGATGAATAGGCGGGGGCAATACGAGATTGTGAAAGCGATGCGATTGGTGTGTGTGCGTGGTGTGCGGATTACTTTTTGCCGTTCTGCTGTGCTCGTGCCTGCGCCGCCACCTGGGCCTGATACTGAACCCCACGGCAACAAAAGATGTTAGCAAGCGATGGAATGGTGAGAAAGGGTCGGGGGGACGTACTTTTTCGAGGAAGTCCTTTTCACGACGGAAGAGGAGGATGTGCGGTTCGGGCGCGTGCACCTCGTAGTGTTCCCAGCCGACGCTCTGGGTGATGCCGATATCGCGCCACTCCTTGACGGCGAGGATGCGCAGAACCCCCGGCTCGGCTGGGTCAAAGTACGATTCCGGGAGCAGCTTGAGCATTGGCTTTGGCAGAATCACGTGTCTAATCCGAGCAATCCAGCGTCAGTACCACATCGCCTCGGGATCGCGAGAGAGAGGCGGAGTGAAGGGTGGGTTGGACATACCGATATTCCCATTCATCGTCGTTGTACTTGTCGCTGTAATGAATCCTACCCCACCTCCCAACTGTGTCAGCACCAACATCCTATCCAGAAAAAAAGGCAGGGAGAAGCAAGAGGTTGGGACATACCGTTCGAGATAGTCTTCGTACGTGGGCTCTTTTGGGTCCTTTGCATCGTCTTTCGACATGGTGGGCGGTGTGAGGTGGTTGTGGTGGTGGAATGAGGAGATGGTGTTGGTTCGAGCCGCGCGCGCGTTCTTGACGCCGAGGCCTCATGCACGGTGCGCCCAAATCGCGCGCGCTCGACCGATTCCAAATTTCCATCCCCCCAACACTACCGACACTCTCACATCCAAATGCCATCCCAAACCATCATCCTCAGTCTACCTTGGCTTTCGCTCGCAATACCACACACCTCGCAGCACAACAAAGATCAGCTTTGCCAAAGCATCCGCCGAGGCAAAAGCAGCATTGAACCGCACACGCAGTCCATCCCCCCTACCCAAAAAAAGGAAAAAGAAAAAGAAAAAGGTGTTGGTCTCGCGCGCCCCCCAGGCCTGCCTGCTCGTCCAATCTTCGCCCCCCCCCCCC